ATGATTATGAGGATTTACAGATACTGTCTAATGGAAAATCATAAAAGCATAACACGGAATATTTAACACAGATTATATTATCTCTACAATGAAGCAACATTCCAGCAGATTCAGAAGCAGATAATATGGCAGCCATTTTTTAAACTTCAATGTGGAAATGCAATTGATTTCATGACTCCTATTGCACAAACCTTACCAAAAATATAAAGTTTAGCAAATCCCCCAAAGAATTTCACCAATTTGAAATCAGAATAAGTGAACCTGACTGCAGCGTAACGTACTGGACGATCTCCTCATCAGCAATCAAGATCAGACGGTTTCTTTCTCAAACTATAGATGTGGGATGTTAATTCGTGCTGTGTGGTTAACTGGACGTATGCATGTATTATCTAGGTGCAAATTTGCCTTTTTTGCCTCTGTCCATAAGATAACTATGACATTACACAAAAAAGAAATGTGTTACTCAAGAGACACTACTTTTCTCTTGGTCATCAAAGCATTAAAGCCATCACATCTCAGTAATTCACGATATAATAACCACAAATTATCGGCTGGCTGTACGTACTACAACAACCAGAAGCAGGAGCAAGTGCTTGAAGGGAGATTCAACAAGACTTTTAAGTGATGAGGTCAAGGTTTGTAATTTCATCGTTTGAAAAGAACTGAATAAGAAAGAAGGAAGTATTGGACTAATGTCAGCGGTGGCATCTGGGAGCATAGAAAAAAATCATATAAGCAGAAAATAAGGCAACAAAGAGGCTTGAGAGGAAGGTTATCTAACCAGAGGGACTGAATGCAACGCTTCCACATGAGCGCTCTGTGCCATCATTTCTGCATCATCTGCCTCTTGAGCACCACCACCACAGGCATCCACTGCACCTACTTACGCCACGGCCATAGCTTTCAACAAATACGCCTTTATATTCATCATAACACTAATAACTCTGTCAGGGAAATGCGATCCATCCTCACTTTTCTATCTGAAAGCATGGGAAGCATATGGCATTGAGGTGAGACCTACTGAATCAGTGAGCTATAGATCTGATGACTAGAAATAGCTTGAGAATGTGTCCAGGAAGCAAAGTGGGGGTGTGTGTCTCTCTGCACGATTTACAAAAAGGTTATAAGCTCTATCCATTCCCTGTTAGCCGCTTTCCTCAGAGGCAAAACAATTAGTTACATAACATATCAGAGTCTTGCAATTCCATGTCACAGATCTCCAGCCGACTGAGCAGCCCGCCTAAAACCATTCATTACAGCAAAAGACAAGCTCCACTGTTTACTCCTTCCCTCACTATAAAATAATAATGACATACTCTTTATATTCTATAAAAACACTGTTGTTGAAGCAGTTATAGAATTTAGATCCAACCACTATAAAAGCAGAGTAAATGCAAAAGGTTATTATTATTCTCACGGTCTGTTGAGAAACGCAGAGGATAAGGAAAGTGCACTTGTCTATAATCTACCCTACATGATGAGTACAGGGCTGTACGCTACATCCACATTAAACAGTGGTGAAACAGCTCCAGTTGTTCTGTTGTTCATGTATGTCTATGGTCTGTAGCATCAGATGCTGTTGTTCAGTGTCATAAAAGCCCATGTGGGCTGGGGACTTTAGTGCATGACCCTTAAATGAAATACTACTACTGCTGCTGCTGCTGGATATCTGAATTTCTCCTACGAGGATCAATAAACTAACTATATCATTTGGTTTGACATGGATAAGATCGGCTTTAAAAGGTGGTGAAACAAGGGACCTTCAGCAGTTGGACAGAGGGACTCAAATTCACACAGTCATCTGACTTAAGCTAAGTTCCAAACAGGAACTGGGATCTTCCCACCTCCCACTCTGATAAACATCCTGGAACACTGCTCACACTGGTTTTTCCCACTTGCAAACTGGGAGTTGATCCAGCTGCTGCTACTTCACTTCCGAAAGAAACTGTGAAATTAAAACAACACATCGCCACAGAGTTGGTAAACAATAACACCAAATACATTGTTGTATGGAGTCATTTGAATGGAACCGTGTTCATGAATGAACAGCAGGAGCAGGTTGGAGCCTCAGCACAGAAAGGCCTCTTCTGGTCCAGGAAGCAGTGAGGCATGAGTGCTAAAAAAAATGTCTTCCCTTTGATCACATGATTTTGAATCAGGAACGCATTAAGAATTCTTATCAGGATTTCCATGTCCCCAAAAGAATTTAATATTTTGATGAAGGACCAGTTCTTTTGACACTGAAAGCTTACATTATGCCATACTGACTTCGACCCCTCTTTGAAACCCACTTAAAAGAGGGGTTTAGTAGGAGGTCAACTCCTACTAAAGTACCCTGGCACAAAGGGGACCCACACAAACCAAATTTAATTCTGTTAAACTGCAGAAAACGTTTTGCATTATGTCAGACTGACTTTTCAAAACAAGAACCACTGACTCTAACCCTAACCCTGGGTTCTTCTCGCGTTGGAGAAGAGCTGCATGTAACTTCACAGAGGCAAACATAAACACTTATGTAACTTCTTCAGGGTTTTATGATCCGAGAGCTGCAGTCCCATGGTGAGTTATCTCCCCCTCTCCACATCCGTTTGTCAGCCATGTTTGGACTTAATCATTTTTGATAGATTTTACAGCAGTGGTATAATTGGTTCAACAACATTTCCTCTACTTACTTTGGATGCTTTCTATCACGCAAAACTCCTCATGCATTTCAAATTGTATTGAATTGCATTCGTAAATAGAAACATGAAATGCATGAGACAATGATAATGAGATTATGGAAATGGAGTATTCAAAACTGTTGCTGTTTCCTTTAATCATTATTTAAATCATGTGTCAATCAAGTTTAAAAAGCTCTAAACTGTGAGCGCTGCAGAGACCTGCCAATGTCATTGTATCATTATCACAAAGCTTGTTAGTACATTTTAACAGTTCATTTGCAAAAACGGATATCTCCTTTTTGAAAATGTGTCAAAAAAGTTGTATTCCTCAAGCTACAATCTCTTATGTTTTGATATCGGCTGTAAATTGGAGAGGATTTTCTCAAGACGGGGTGAAACTGTATTTGCGTGGCACTAATATATATACAGTCTACTTGATAAAGAGCCAATTGTAAGACATTAGAAGTGTTCATTTGATTATGCAAATAAAATCTTTATGTGCAATACGGCCTTGCCCTCATCATTTCACCTTCTTGATGTATTTGTGTATTCTCCCGAAATAATATCAGCATTTGTAAAATAGACACAATAAATATTATTCAATATGAAGAGGACACATTTACTCTGTGTTTCCAGACGTTTGACTCGCTGAGGTTTGATTTGTGTCCAGATTTATCCAGGTTTCAGCCGAGGGCTTCCCCTAATTGTGAACTCTGTGCGTAGCGGACGGTTCAGCAGATTAAACAGCTGCCTGGCGCTCGCCAGAATGTGTTAGCAAGTGGAGCAGCAAGATTAACCGTAATCAAAATCACAATAGACAAATATTCAGTGTATAATGTAAAATAAAAACCTTGTTATCCCAATTTATCATTGAGACAACAAGTACTAAAAACTCCAGAACACAAGGAGAAGTGACTACTATTTGATCATTTCCTTCTGATATTATATAATGTTTATAAGCTGCTCAATATAAATTGACTGACTTCAGGATGCATTTACTTCTTCTGCTATTTGTTCAGATCTAAACTGTAAGGCTGTAATTACTGTGTGAAATCGTGTAAAACTAATTGAAGATGTGGACTAACAACATACATTGGAGCTCGGTTGAATGCAGCCAGATGATGCTCTGTTGGCAGTAGGTTAGTGTTGTCCTACAGCTCTGATCACAAGCTGGCTAAATTATAATTATGATTTCCTCTGAAAAAGACAGCTGTTGTAGTTATATATTTCGTCACACATCATTTTATGTAACCAAACCAGTAACCCTAACCTACTTGAAAATATAGAACGTCACAATTCAAAGTCACAGCCAAAAAAGAAAAAGAAATTCAAGTCACATGACACATTGGATTATCATTATTACCATTTAGCTTTTACTGCGAGTGTTGTGTTCTATTGGTGCACTTGACATTAAGAAGGATTAAGATGCAGGCAGCCGTTTCTGCTCTGACTCTGAGCCGGAATTGGTCTTTGAAAAATTGCAGAACAAAATGTGCAAACACCATATGAACTACAGGGAGTAAATTGGGCATAAACCACCGCTTTAATACTGTTGCATTTTTCAAAATCAAATTTAGGCTTACCCTACAACAATGTGTATCATTATAATGTTTGAGTAATGTGATCACCCAGTCCATGCAATACTATGTGCAGCCCCGTGGTGCTGAAAGGACAGCTCCTCGCGCTCCTGCAGCGCTGTTCTCACACAATGCGTTTGTCTCACTGACCTGGTGCAAGTGTTGCGTGATCTCTCCAGATGGTCTCTGTGCTGTCCTCTTCCTTGGCTTTATCATTCCCATAGGTTGCTTACTGTTTTTCTTTTAATTCTCGTTTAAAAAATCTTGGCTGAAAAAGCATTGCTTACCCCTCTTTTGGTCCATTCCCTGGAGGCCAACAGAAAAAATATAGGCCTGCTTGCAATTGAAAAATATAGACTTCAAAGATTCTTCTTCAAGGCTGTGGTCAAGTTCTTAAACAAATGTTCTATCAAGGTGTGTTTACCACTAACATGAATGCAACTTATGGTACTTCAACTGGCCTTATCAAAATAAATCTATTTTTTATACTATATATACAATGCATGTATAGTCCATCAAGTAATGTGCTTGTCCTTGTTTTCCTGAATATAAACTGTTTTGACGGTTCCTACAATGTTGTTGAGCGTCATATGTCTCTAGTCCACTCTCCAGTGGAGTCAAAGTGTGCTTAAACAAAAGAACAGCCTAATAATAAAGATACTCGTTAATTTTCTAAAGATAAACACTATAGGTGAGCATCTCCTGGTGGGGTGTGCAAAGTACCCAACAGTGAGATTAGTGTACATAATTGATTCTTTTGGAGCTACAGGTCCGTTTCCCGTGTATCCAAACAAAACGCGTAAAGGGAACGTTTGAAATCCATACTGCTATTCGCTTTGATGTTCGCTTTTTCCACTGACGCGGGTGCGTCATTGTTCTCCACATCCTGAGACTTGTTGGAGGTTTTACTGCCTTTGCGCTTGAGTTCTGGGCTGTTCCTTCCACTGTTGGGCTCGTCCTTGAGCGAGGACTGGTCCTGGTCCGTCTCTCGGTGGTAAAAGTAGTTGAAGTTGGACACGATGACAGGCACCGGCAGTGCAATAGTGAGCACACCGGCGATGGCGCACAATGACCCCACAATTTTACCCCCGACTGTGACGGGGCGCATGTCCCCATACCCCACAGTTGTCATCGTGACCACGGCCCACCAGAAGGCGTCCGGGATGCTGGAGAAGTGGGACTCTGGCTCATCCGCTTCTGCAAAAAACACGGCACTGGAGAAGAGGATGACACCAATGAAGAGGAAGAAGATCAGCAGGCCGAGCTCGCGCATGCTGGCCTTTAAAGTCTGGCCCAGGATTTGCAGCCCCTTGGAGTGTCTGGAAAGTTTAAAGATCCTGAAAACCCGGACTAAACGGATAACCCTGAGGATGGCTAGTGACATGGCCTGTTGTCCGTTTTGATGCTCCTCATCTTGCTGCTCCATCAGCTCAGTGCCCACAGTGATAAAATAAGGCATGATGGACATAATGTCGATTATGTTCATAACTGTCTTCGAAAATTCAGACTTACTTGGGCAGGCAAAGAAGCGCACAAAAAGTTCAAAAGTGAACCAGATAACGCATGTCGTTTCTATAATGAAGAAAGGGTCTGTGAAGGTGAGAGAGGGTCGCGGTGCAGTGCTGTTGTCCATGCGGCTTGTTACCGGTAATTCTCGTTCGTCCCTAAACTCAGGCAGCGTCTCCAGGCAGAAGGTAATAATAGATATGGTAATAACAATGACAGACACGATGGCAATGCCCCGTGCTGGACTGGAACTCTCAGGGTACTCAAATATGAGCCAGACTTGCTTCTGGAATTCGTTTTGGGGAAGTGGCTTTTCCTCTTCTTTGATAAATCCTTCATCCTCCCGGAACCTCTCCATGGCCTCCTCTCCTAATTGATAAAACCTGATCTCATCTGCGAAGACGTCAATGGACACATTGACAGGTCTACGAATCTTTCCACCTGACTGATAAAAATATAAGATTCCATCAAAGCTAGGTCTGTTGCGGTCAAAGAAGTACTCGTTCCTGAGCGGGTCAAAATATTTAATCCGCTTGGCAGGGTCACCCAACAAAGTGTCGGGAAACTGGTTAAGTGTGCCGAGCTGAGTCTCGTAGCGGAGTCCTGCTATGTTGATGAGAACCCTCTCGTTGCTTTCTGCGTCCATGTCCATGTCCAACATGTCCTCATCGAACAGATGTGGACTGTGGTCCGCGCGTAAAAGTGCTTCCATGGCGTTCTCGCTGCAGCTGAGTGTGTTGTTCATGTCGTTTATTTTCCAGGTGCTGGGCTGATAGTGGTGGCGAGTATTTAGCTCCTTACTGTAGTCCTCCCCGAGTCGAGTCTGCGCGAAACCCGCTTGAGGGACATCCAGCGCGTTCCGGCAGCTGTCCTCGGCATTATTGCCCCCTCCGCCGCTTCCCTTTGAGCCACCGTTCTCAAAACTCACCAAGGCTATCTCCATTCCGCAGCCATTAATCGGGAAGATGATAATGGGAGAGAGACTTGTTGAGTGCGAACGCTGGAAACATTGCTGGTACTTTTACGCGCACAAAAGTAAAAACAAATACGCAGACGAAAGAGCGATCAACTCGTGCAAATTAAAGCCGTGGCTGCTCCAGCATTGCAGCTGCTGTTGTTGCTGTTGTTTTGTTGTTGTTAAGGCTTAAATCCAGCGCTGATTTGCCGAATAGACATATCAATACTTTAGAGAAAAGAACGAAAGGAATAGCTGAAGGAGTTGTCTGTGGGCTGTGATTGATTATTCCTGATGTCCAAAGTGCTGCTCTGATGGTTTAGCTGCCTCTGAAATGTCTGCAAATGTACAAATGTGAGACAAGCCTTCCCTCGCTGTGGCGCGCTCTCTGGGGGAGGAGAGATAGTACCCTACGTTTTTTTCTGGCTTCATGACGCTTGAACTGAAGCCATGCTAATGCCATACCGAAGCATCTGTGATTCCAAATACACTGGGACAAATATTAATGGCCACGTGTGTCTTGGTGAATTTGTGGTGAATTTGTCATCGTCTTAATCTTAATTACACTGTCTGACGACGCTATATGGAAATATGGTTGGCTGGTGACTAGATAAACAGTTTACATTTAAAAAGTGGTATTGTTTAATACAAATATTACACTGTTAATTCAATATTTTGTCCTCTCTCACACATATTTATTTTGGAGACGTGTCTGAAAGTCACGTGTGCTTGCAGCTGGATGCACAGTCCTAATGCATCTCTCTTCAGTGCATTCACAAAGACCTAGTTTTCCACACGAGGGCTCCATCAACAAGTCTCACTGTCATTTTTTTTTTCTTTCTTCTTTTTTATTTCTTTGTGCTCCTGTATGGCCTCAGGGTCACACTCAACCCTTCATCTTTTCTGACTTTTAAGAAGTATGAAGGAATTTCATTTTGGTATATTCTTACAAGTAGGCTATTTTATCTCAATCTTTATGTCAACACAATGTGTTTAATGTTCCCTTTCTCGTTGTTATTTATGCACTATCATTGATAGTAATGCACTACCACTCCTATGACGATGATTGCAACTATTTCTGATGATTGCTACTGTTACTCATTATTATTATTATTATTATTGTTATTGTTATTATTATTATTATTAGCCAATTATTCTTATTCTCATTACTACTACTACAAATATGTAGTCCTCACACCAAGTCAGCAGAGTTTGTTTTCATGGAGCAATAGACGCACACTCCCACATAAGCACAACACACACGCACGCACACACACGGTGGACTCAAAAAGCCTTGGCATGTTTCTGAAAGCAGCAGAGGAGGTGACCTATTTAAAAGGTTAGTTTCTTAGCCCCATGGATGGATTAGGAAAACAAAGCACCAGCACTATATTTATCCTTTTCCTTATCTAATGCCCCAGCCTCATCATGATAAGAACTATTTGCATCTCCCCGCCCCTGGATTAGTGCACTGTCCTCAGACTGCAGCCATGAATAATAACCAGCAACATCTCACTGTGAGTGCCCACCGGCAACACTGCGATTTCACGCACTGGATACAGCCATTAGGGGTTTCACAATAAAGTTAGATTTACACTGTGGTTAGTTCCATAATAACACGTGATCTGGTCACATAGTCTAAAAAAATCCTTTCAGAACAAATCCTGTTAAAAAAGAGAATTTTAGATATAATGAATCGTTCTTACAAATATAAGTCACTATTACAGATATAATAAATAATTACTATTACAAATATATATTTTTATTTTCATAATCCTTATTATTATAATTCTTCATGAATGTATTATTGGTATCTTTTTAGGGTAACAGTAACAGTTTACTAAGGATTGGGACAGGATTCATGACTCTGCTGAAAGGCCATGGATTCAGAACATTATTACATGTGAATGCAAGGCTTTATTCTACAGCGTGTACTCTTGAAGTCATCCACAGATGCCCGTCGAGAGTCTTCAGGTCCTGTTACCAGTTACAGAGGAAAACAGTAACCATAACAACAGGTTACCATTAACAACCACCTTCCATAATAACTGCAGCACTCGTTTGCAGTCTAATTACAGAGTTGTAGCCGCTGCTGCCTGTAAAAATGCAAATATCAGGGCATTTAAAGAACTTAGTAGTCCACAGATCAAGAATCATCCATGGTCAACAACATGGGTGATGTCCTGTGGGTTCTTCCAGACATCAGTTTGGGGACTTTTCCCATTCAAATGATAAGCAAGCCACAGTGGGGGTCTCCAAACCTTTTTTAATCAGATATTTCAACAAATGGGCACTGATGGAATACTGGCCACCTGCAGCTACAAAATGATGATCATAGACGTCACTGTAAGTGATGGTACTTACAGGTGCTGAATACCAGACTCTATATGTAGAAGACACTACTAGAAGTGACAAAAGAGGCATTTGTCTCTGCTGTACAGGACCCATGTGACAGTCTGCAGTGTCATTGTTGTTGATGGAGTGTGGCACATGAGTGGCGAAGACTTTCTTTTATTTACCCAATGACGCAATCCCCCAGGGGTAAACAGATGCAGATTTATTGTAAACACAGGAACACGTATTTGGGTGGCTTCAAACTTCCCCTCACTGAGTGCCGCTCATTTCAGTATATTTCACCAGCATCATGTGAATGATGCCTGTATTAAACAAACATTCTTTTGCTGAAACACTTGAGATCCGCTTTGTTTGGACATGATCTTAGCACGCAGTGTCATTGTGTCATACAAGTGTCCTTGTAATGCTAGTAATGTCAGAAGTTGTCTCTCATCTCTAATCAGAAAATAAAACTTACTTCCACCTTTGATGCCTCATATCTGGTGCTCCAAACAGTCAAGTGGGTGAAGGGGCTGACTTTCTTGACCATCTTACATGCCAGGTGTCCTCAGACTTCAACTTGGGTCCAGGACTGAGATAGTTTTCAGACTACAGTCCCCTTGGACACCAATGTCCAAACTTCAATTGTCTATGTCGAATTTACGGTGACAATATTGTCAAATATACACAGTTTTTAATCATGCTGTCCAATAACACAATAATTAGACTGCATGATTATCGCACAAGTGTGCCTCAGGCTGACCACAGTCCCATATCCAATGACCTACATGTACACCTGCAGGACCTCCACATCCAGCATGTTCACTTCCAAAATCAGAGACCAGTCACCCAGACAGCTGCTGCAAACATTGGTATGTAGGACTATAGCATGTGAGCACAACCTGTCATAAACTGTCTCAGGGAAGCTCATTTTCAGTTCTTCATTCCAACTACAACTGCTCACATTCGATGGCATCTGGCACCTGGGGGAGGTGTTATCTTCATGATGAATTGGTGCGGCTGAGCGTTTATTATACTGTTATGGTATGGGCAGGTTATGGACAATGTATGTTATTGTTAGTATTTAGAATCCCTTCTCCAGATTTGTCACCCATTGAGCAAGATTGAGATCCACTGGATCGCTGTGTGCAAGTGTGTCGCTGTTCTCGCCAATATGTAACACCTTAGCACAATCAACAACTTGTACAACTGTGGAGACGTGTGAGGCAAAAGGGGCTGCACCAGATAATGTCTGGTTTTCCCATAAGGCAAAATCTGAAAATGGCCTTTTCTAATGCTCAGCCCAAGGCACCTGTGCAGTATCCATGATGTCAAATCAACCTATTGACATGCCACACCTGTCAGCTCAGATGGAGTATCGCTGAGGAGAAGTGCTCAGTAACACAGATTCAGACAAATTAGTTTAAAAAACATTTGAGATAAATAGCTCATATAACAGGTGTGACTATTAACTAAATAATCAATCCTTCTCTGCAAAGCAATGGGTTCATCACTTCTGCCCACTTCAGAAAGCAACACATTTGCATAATTTTGCATAATAACTGCTGAGACTCCAGCAGTACTGTCGACTACCACCACAATATATGGACTGAATGAATGATGCCATGTGAAGCCTTTAGTAGTTATAGAAAGTGCTATGTACTGCTCATTATCATTATCATCAATATTTGTTATTTGTTAAAAACCTGAATGAGATACTGGATGGTAGTCTGGTTGGGAGCGTTTTCAGTGAAGGACAAAACAAAAATCCAGAGACTGATAAAAAATGGCAACAAAGATCATTGGAGCTGAAGTTCCCTCCAGCTGATCTACGAGAAGACGGCACTCCCACTGTCACAAAGAACCATTCGTTTCAAGCACCTTTTAAACATTGTTTTTTTAAAGAATAATTTTCTTTAACAATGATTTGTTTTTCTCAAACACGTCCATCTAATAAAGTTTGCTTCAAGTGCTTGGCCTTCTTGAATTCATTTGCATTTACGTCATCTTGGTCCTGTAAAAAATTTATAAAATATACATCAATATATCATGATTATGCTAATAATTCACAGTTGAAACTTTCTGCAACTAAGTCAAGATTAAACCGCATTATTTATAATTGTGAAGAAAATAAAAATCACCAGCCCACCTTTGCTCCTCTGGCTTTGAGCCCATGGACGTATAGTAATAATGCATCGGTTTTATATAGCACTTTTTTGGACACTCAAAGACGCTTCACACGTCAATATTCATTCACTCCAAACACAGTGGTGATAAACTACTACTGTAGCCACAGCTGCCCTGGGGCACACTGACAGAAGCGAGACACTCACCAGACTCATTCTAGGAAATGTGGGTGAAGTCTAAGAACACAACAGTAGTTTGATGCTTTACAGCCGCAGCCGCCCCGCTGTGGTGCGGAACACTACCCTGGTGTTCCCAGAGGTTAAGTGTCATGCCAAGGACACAACAACAGCAGACATTAGTGGGAGTCATGAAGTAGGTCTCGTGGTGGGTTCGAACCCACGACCTTCAGGCTCAAAGGCCAATGCTCTTCCAACTGAGCCACTGCGGCTCAAAAGGGAAAAGATCTCATTAAACAAAGACCTTTAGTGGAATGAGGATGGACTTATCCCCTCCCATTCTTTACTCAT